TCTGACAAGGTCAGTCAAATCCCCTCAGGATTTATCCTGAAACCCTGTACTGCAGTTTGTAGATCCTTTGTCAGTGTCATTCATGTGGATGAGTCATGGCCATTGCTTGACCAGTTTGCTCTCTGTGAAAGCCTGAGAGAATGTTTCCTCTCCATGTGACTCTCCATAGGCACACTCTGCATCGTCGATCGCTTTCCTCTGTGGCCCCATAATCTCCTTGATCAGAAAATTTGGGACACAACTGAGTTACATGGTTATAAAAGTATTTTTGGTGAAATACATTTCATTGAGTTTTAAATGACTCAGCAAAGTGAGCATGATCCAGGCCTCCCATCTTGGTGTGAACACTTACCAAGCTACATTTAATTTTGAAAGTTAAGCATCTTCCTTTTGCTTTGGTCCTTTATTGCTTTTAAGACATTTTATATTATACTGTAAGTTTTCCTCACATTTTGATTTTGATTTGGACTAATGATCCCTCTCAGAAAACACTGTGCAAGTAGCTGATATTTTAAAATAACTAGTTGATGGTGCTTGTGAACTACGATGTTTTTCTCTCTCTCTTCACTTTAAATCTGGGATTATTAATGCAAATCAGAGATGAAGTCACCACTTGCTCAAGTAGTGTTAACCCTCTAGCTCTCTGTTGATGTACTCTTAAAGCAGTATTTTCCACTAGAATTGGGACCCTGGAGGTTCTGTAGTTATAATGTGGTCTCAGTTTTTGGGAAATGGAGTGTTAATATTAGGATCCCCAGCAGGATAGGAAATGCATTACTCCCCTCCCACTCCCTTGCCCTACTTTTGGAGCTACCTTTTAAAAAAATTGCTTTCTTCTAAAATAGTATAGTAATTTTAGTTCATTGGGTTTAATAGTGAGGCACAGAGCTTTAAGAGCTTAATTGTGGGGATTCCCAGGTCAGAATTTCCATTAGTAATAAAGTCAATTTGACATTTAGGACTTATTCTCTGAGGCCATTTTGAAAAATAAAATTTTTCAGCAGCTGAGTTGTAGCTTATAAAATGGATTTAATTGGCAAGAAAAGATGGCACATTTCTACTAAATTGGTTCTGTTGATGTTGCTTTTAAACATATTATTTCTAAATATGTTTTGAATTCTTTCTCCTCTTTTGTTATTCTTTAAAAATTGACAAGTGAGGTTATATGTTAAGGATGTTGTATACTTTTGGTTTTATCTTAAAAAAAATACCCATCTGAACACTTTAGTTTCAGAGAATTCAAGTAATTTAACAGATTTGATGTCCAGGGATAATGTTTTCCTAAAATCATTTAATTTAGTACCTGAGAATCCCCAGAAGGTCTTGGGAATGTGGGATCAGGTGGCTTGGAAGTTGGCTGCTGTAGTGCCTGGAGACCTTGGTGGATGTCAGGCCACGCTCCGTGGGAGAGCCAGAGGTGGCAGACAGGACAGCAGTCGCTACTCCTGACAGGCACTATGAAACCAGTCAAACATGTGTTATTAGAAATACAAGAATATAGTAGACATAGGTTTTTTTTTTTTTTTTTTTTTTTTTTTTTTTTTTTTTTTGGCTCTACTTAGCTCTGTATTGAGCTTGTTTTCGTGCGGTGATGTATGTTCATACCACACCCATGACCTTGCTTTAGAGATTATTTAGAAAGTAGAATCAGAGTGCCTGCAAGCTAATTGCATTTTGTTTTGTTTCTATCTCTTTAATAACCCGTAGTTTCCATAGAATAACTGTGAGTGTTCTTTTTCTTTTGTATTTTTATTCTAAACATTACTTAAGACATTACTGTTTACATAGTATAGGTGGCTTAGATACGGGAGGGAAACCAAGCGAAATGTTAAAAGATTGCTGTGAACTAATGTGGTGTGGCCTTATGCATTGTACAATGCATAAGGCCATACCACATTAGTGCTTAACTTAATGAAGGGCCTCTGACCCAGTTTGCCAACTAATAATACATGGCGAAAAGCAACTTTAAAACTTGGATTTAAACTAGTCACACTGTTCTTCTTGCATTTGTGATTCACTTTTTTAAAACAATGTTTTCAGGAACTAACAACTAGGAAATCTGTTTCTAGCTCCTAAGTAGCAGGTTAAGGAGTGCTTAGACCTAGATTGGAACAAGCTCACTGTGGGAGAGAAGGACATCCTGGAAGGTGCTGGCTAGGCAGTAGATTATTTCATTGTACTAGCAAATCAGAATCTGGCTCCTGCCTCCAGAGAAATGAGAAGAAGATGCAATACTTTGCTGGGAGATGTGCTTGGGTAGACTTTACATGTATGTATAGATCTGTGTAGCTGGGTTTTTGTCGACAGTGAACCAAAGGTTATGCTTTCACCTGAACTGGGGCTGGCTTCAGCCAGAGCAATGAGTAGCAGCTTAGCTTAATTCCTAACTCTTGTAAGAAACAGCTGCCTTTTCTTGCTGTTGTCCCATTTGGGCTGTGGCCTTCCATTCTTGGAAGGATAAACTTCTGTAGGTTGGAAGTGGTTCTGTACTGTAGGCCAGGAGAATAGATGCAGGGGCTGAAAGGGGAGCTTCTGGCTTGTGTCCTCCTCTAAAGCAGCTTTCTTGCTTCTCTAGGCCAGATCATGCCACATCTGATGCTCTTTGGTACATGCCGTAACTTCAAAGCTTGGCCTAACTGGCATTTGCCAGATGAGATTATGAGATGTTGCCCCTATGAAGCTCCACGGCAGCAAGGACCTGGAGCCTTGGTCACTCTTTTTTCCCAACCCCTGCAGTAGGCACTTGATGTTGAGTGACTGAATGAAGGGCTGAATTCAGCCTTCTTTCTGTGAGTTCCTTCTTAGACAGAAAAGAGGTAACAAAATTTTTCAAACCCACCCACTTGTTTTGTCCACACAGCTGCCTTCAGTGTTTGGGGGTGCAGCTAGAAAGTAGAAACAGATTTTACTGTAAAATTTTTACTTTAGTTTTTGAACTGGGTCATTATAAGTTCAAATAAAAAGTAAATCATAGTTTTCCAACTCTTTCCTCAGTTGCTGCTTTTCCTTTTGTAAAGGGACCAAAGATTGTAAGATTAAGAAAGAAATGTCATCCTATCTGAGGATGAGAGCCTTAAAATCTTCTGAAGTCCAACTCTTGCTCAAATACAAATGATTAAGACGGCTTTATGTTTTGTTTTTTTTTTTTTGTTTTTTGTTTTTTTTTTTTACATTTGTGCCCTGTTTTTGCAGGTACCATAAGAGCCAGGCCATCTACCTGGAGTCAAAGGATAACCAGAAACTGAGCTGTGTGATCAGCTCAGTTGGAGCCAATGAGGTATGGACTGAATTTCTTCACTGAGGAAAGCAAAATGTGCTCTGTGAAGAGCAGAAAATAAGAAAAATCTGAAAGTTCTATCAATAAAGTAAATGATAGGCTAGGCATGGTGGTGCACGGCTGTAATGCTAGCACTTGGGAGGCTAAGGCAGGGGATAGTTCTGAGTTTGTGACTAGCCTGGGCCACAAAGTGAGCTCAAGGCCAGCCTGAGCTGCATAGCGAGACTGTGTCTCAAAAAAGAAAAAAAGTGAAATCATGTCTAATATGTGTGGGTTTAACGCAAAAGTTAATACTTTGTGGCATAGTCAGAGCCACCCTTTAAGCTCTGTCTCATACGTGTTTGCATCCAGTGTGTGGAGCCCTGAGTATCCCTGGTAGCATTGGTGAGCTTTCTCTGCAGTATTTGATCTGGGAGCCACTGAGCTAGCGTTGAGGAGAGAGCAGAAGGCAAGCATGTGAGATCTGTACCTTCCTGGCCTCGCTTCTTCTGGTGTCTCCTGAGAATGGGGCTTGCCTGTGGAGCATACTCCACCTTTGTTGTGTTATCTCCCTAGAGCTTTTGCATGATCTCATAGATTTGTGTCATGTATTGAGTACCTGCCACAAGATCCAGCACTCAGCACTCAGTGTGAGTGCATTTCAGTCAGCATGACTCCTGGGCTGCTCTTTGCCACCTGGTGTGTCCTGTTGTGCCCAAACAGTAGGCTGCCGGGCTCTTTGCTTGGGCGTTGGTCTCCTGCCAAAGGGTCTGTTTTTAACGGAGTTGCATCCACACGTGGTGTGACTACCCTACAAGTTCTCTGCATGGTCCTTCATTAGGAGAGTGTCCAGCAATGTCTATCTTGCATTGTTAAAAAAGGGTTTAAAACTTCAGTGGCTGGATTGGTTTGATCTTTTATCACTCTGCAAATGTCTGCAAAGAAATTGATTTTTACGTGTCTACCCTCTGTAACTTATTCGTGCCAGTGCACAGTAAATCTAATGAAACTGCATTATGAAATAACTTAAGCCTCTCGTATTCTCCCAGCTTCCTGAATTGAAAATGCCCTCAAATGTGACTAGTGTGCACGATGATTGTTTACTTAGAAGTTAGGGAGAGCCTTCCAGATAAATGAATGTCACTCTTGTCAGGACTCAGGACCTAAGTCACCTCAGGCCAAGCTGGAACCAGAACTGGAGCTGGAGAGGTGCCTCGCTTTGGTGAAACACCATTTGCACCTGCCCTCAAGAGTTGCTCTGCAAAAGCCCTTGTGGCTTCCTGGTACCTTGCTCCTACACCCAGCTTCAGAACTGCTGCCTGTTCTCCTCTGTGGCACCCCAAGGAAATTAGAGACACAGGCTCCATGTCCCCTTACCCAGCCTCTCCTATTGAAGTTACCACTTTTTGTCAGGAAAGAATGTCTGAGATGCATCTGGGAGGGAAGAGGCCTCGGGCTTTGCAGGCGGTGGGTGTGAGCTGGAGCAGCCCTTGGTTCTTAGAAGTCTTGCGGTGCATTTTTCATTTGAGCTCCTGAACGATGCTGGAGCTGTGTGGCCATGCTGTAACTCAGCTTTGGGCAGCTTTGGTGGTGGGTCTGAGTGCGTTAGTGACTCCCTGAGTCAAGCCTCTTGGGGTCAGTTTCAGTTTGAAATGGTTCTGTATGTTCCTTTAGAGGCTCAGCTTCATGTGAGATCTTTAGCTTGTTTCAATTTTAAACCAGTATATTTTATTTTTAAAGTCTGTCTGTTGCTGAATAATCACATTAAAGAAATCAAGGTGAAACTTGAGAACACGCTTTTTTAAAACCTGAAAACTGGATAGGGGAAGGAGGAGGTGCATCTGCAAGCTCAGCACTGTATAGAGGAAGTGCAGGCCTCTAAAATGCAGGCTTTAGGTTCCATTTAGTTGTGTGTTACAGAGAGCTAGGTGAGAAGAGTCAGAGGCCGCTTGAGCGGTGAAGAGCAAAGGACTGCCATCAGCACCGTGATCACTTGGCACGGGCGACTCAGCCTTCCCAGCTTTGGTGTCTTCTGTAAAATGGGGCCCATAGTATTGCTTACTCCACAGGCTTGTTCCGAGCTGCAGCAGCTCAGTGAGTTGGGCAGTATCTGGCGAGTGGTGCGAGTTCGAGAGGCCTCGTTCAGGTGCCTCTGCCTCCTCCCCTAGGTGCCCTGCAGGTACTGTTCACTAAGAGCAATAGAGGGCTCTGGCCGTCCCCTGTGGCACAAGTTCATGTAGCTCCACACCTTTGCCCTGTGGGTCAGCAGCACTGATCCCATCTGTGGGTGAGGGAAATAGTGAGGAGAAAAGATGTCTTTTTTTTTTGGTTGAATTGTTTTTTTAGGGGGGGTTTGGTGCCGAGGACTGAACCCAGGGCTTCCAGCTTGCTAGGCAAGTGTTCTACTGTGGAGCCAAATTCCTAGCCCCTAGAAAAGATGTCTTAACTGTTCTCTTTTCTTCAGATCCTTGCTGGGCCCCAGCTCCCTCATGGGCATCTTTTGTTGTTAGTATTGTTTTTTCCATCACAGCCATTAGCCTTAATTAGCCCATCCAGAAAAAGCAGAGTATCACAAGGCTAGATGATGTGGAAGTCCGTTGGGGTAAGGAAAGCATTTTAAATTTGGCAGGAAGTTTATGTTCATGAATAATATGTCTGTTGCGTATTGCTAAGCCTGTAATTAACTGAATCAAGGCCAGACAAAGTGCACAAATCTGTAATTCCAGCACTCTGGGAGGCTGAGGCAGGATGACTGCAAATTTGAACCCAGCCCAGGCAACTTAGACCATCTTAAAGTTTAAAAAAAAAAAAAAAAAAAAAAAGAAAGAAAAGAAAAAAATTAAGGGGTTGGGAATGTAGCTCAGTGTGAAGGCCCTAGGGTCAGTTCCCAGTACAAGGGGAGTTCTTGTGACCCAGGGAGAAGATGGAGCCCACGATTGCTATGCTGACTGGCTCTTGGTCAGAGGTTGGCCCTGTGGAGGAGAGGAATGCATCAGGGCTGGTGGAGCCAGGGCCACAGTGGCCACAGTCACTCAAGTTGTGCCTGGGCAGCTTCAGGTGTTGAGATCTCCCAGTGTTCTCCCCAGCCTAACTCCTGCAAGTATTGCAGTGCTCTGATTTGCCCCTGCGTGTCTCTCAGCCTTTCTCTTCTCACTCCCTCTCCTGTTCCTGCAGATCTGGGTGAGGAAGACAAGCGACAGCACCAAGATGAGGATCTATCTGGGCCAGCTTCAGCGTGGGCTCTTTGTGATACGCCGGCGGTCAGCGGCTTGACTTTCTACAGTGTCCCTCTTCCCTTGACCCTTTTTTTGGAGTGGTTTTTATTTTTGTTTTGTTTTCTTCTTACTAGAAAATTTTTAACTTACCGGGAATAACTACTTGGCCTTGGAAATGGAGAACCCCGTTGTGGATTCTGCAAGGCACTTTTGTGGCTGGCCACTTCCATCTTTCTGTCATTCTTTCTCGTCACGACTTCTTCTAGACATCTGGCAACGATGGACTCTTTCAGGAGTATTGGGAGTTTGTTTTATTTTATTTCTTTATTTTTTCTTTCACCTGCTTTTTAAAACCTTTGAGTTTAAAGGGACAAGCCTTTTTGTTAATTATCTTTAGGTCTTTCTCCTGTGACAAAGAGCAGGAAGGAATACACTCTGTGGTGCATTTTCATGTCTTGAATCTGATTAGTGGATCACGTAGCTGCTTCCCTTGTCAAGCCCAATTCACTGTTTTCCCAGCAGCTTGGGGCAGAGGTCCCAGCAGAAGGAGATTAATTCTCCTGGCTCGTAGCCTTCTCAGAGAAATTAATGCCTATGTAACATCTGGCACATGCCACCCATTCCCCTGGCTGAACAACAGGAGACTGCACTGTAGTAAATAGATCTGGGTTAGGAACATTTCATATTCATAATGTGCTGAAGTTACCATATTTTAAATGTTATTTAATGCAGGTGATTTAGTCAGACACACTTATTCTAGCTTAGGCTGGCACAAGCGATAATTGCAGACATTTTCATTTGTAATTCCTTTCCCTCCCTAGTTCCCAAGGAGGTAGAAGTAGCAGCTGTCGCAGGCTGGTCATCTGGCCTAGCTTGTAGGCAGGGCAGGGAGATTGACAGTGTAATGATCAATGATCTGTAGACCCTGCATAACCCGTGTCACTTGGTGTGGTACCATGAGCACACATTGGCCATTCTGCACCATGGAACCTTGTTACCAGGCCCTATTGGAGAGGCAAGCTGTGCTGTGGCTGCCACCAAACATGCACTCTTCCTTGGTGAGTCCTGGAGAAGCAGCCTTCCGTGCATGCTCTGCTTCTTCCTCTCTTTCTTTTGATTGGAGAAGTGATTGGTTCACTGAATGGTGGTGTTTTTGTATTCCAGCTGCCAACGAGGTTTCAAGCATTTGGTGCTAGAGTAGCTGTTAGGGTCTCTCTGTGCAGTCAGAACTTACACGTATTAGGACATCTTTGTCCGTACTTCCATTGGCTCCTTGATCACAGGCCTCTGGACTTGCTTCCTGTTCTCCTTATGATGTACATACTGCATAGCAAGTTGGGGTCTGTGATGACAGATCCCCTGAATTCTGACTTCCCTTGAGACCAGTGGTTCTCAAGAGTAAAAAGCCTTGTACAGATGTATTTTTGTTTTAATTTATATACATCCCTGCCCCCCTTTAAAAATTGGTGTTGAAGTCTTATTGAGAAAACAGGATAAATGATAATGTTTATCAAAAGGTCCCTGGGTGTTGTGTTTCTTTTCTGCCCTCCATCCCCTCATTGTTACCATCTTCACTATAGTGAACCAAGGCCATAGTGAACAGAAGCTTCTTTGCCCTGTCCTGGGCTGTTCATGCTTTGAGGAGCTACTTATTTGAATTGCCACTGTTGTGTGTCATATCATATAATTTGTTACATATTCAGTATATATTTGCCATCAAAAGTCTAAGAAATTAAAATAAAAAGCAACTGGATCATCTTCCTTGTCCAACAGTATGCCAAAGTGTCTTTATTGGAAAGGATTGTGTTGATAGCCACTGGAAGCTGTGCAGCAGCAAGTGGCCTTTTTTCTTTCCTTGTGTGGTGTCACTTTTGTGCTTTTGTGGAGTAACTTTGAAGACCAGTGTGCAGGCATCTTTCTTTTTTCTGTAATGTTTGAGGCCTTGTTTAGACATGGTCTTGAGCCTTTCACTGCCTTCACCTCAGTGTCTTCACACCCCTTAATCATGACCTTTCAGCAGTAGGGGAGATGGGAGCAGGCCCAAGGCACAGCATAGTAAGTTGTATTAGGATACTAGATTTTGTTTTTGTTTAGTTACCCCAGAGGTACAAACATGGTAGTGGAACCATCCTGACAGTCCTCCGTGATGACCAGGGACAGTAGGCCTCTTAATGGAGCTCCTTCTGTGATGCACAGATACTTAAACTAGAGGAGGAAGCAGGCTCTTGAGATTTCTGGAACAAGAGGTTTTCAGCCTTACTGGCATTCTTACTGTACAAGGTCTTTCGGTAGAGCCCAACACACATGTTCAGCTGTGTCCTGCAAGTGACCCTTTGCAAAAGGCTGGTCCACATAGTTCTGACCAGGAACTTGTGTGTGTGGTTTGGTCTGCCTCAAGTGTTGTGTCCAGCGTTTGCTCCGGATGTGTCCCAGTATTTATTTTACCTTCAAATGGAAGTATTTGTGCTCTCTCCTCTGTATCCGTTTCTCCCCAGGCTGTTGTCCTGCTGTACACTTTCTAGGTAGATTGTGTAGCCATACCAAAGGCAAAGTGTTTCCGTTCATTTGGATTTCAGTGTTTGTAGATGTCTAGTCTAATTTGTACTTTAAACTTCTAACTAGGACAAGATTTAAGATTCTAGAAGATGAATCTGAAAATCAAGCTATACATATTTGTACATGAGACCCTGTGTTCAGGACCAGGAGGCTTTTCTAAGAGAAATAGGGAGTAGGGTGGGATTGATTGTATTTTATAACCTAACTCTGGGTGGGTGGGATTCTATTTTTTACAGTATTTTTTGGTTTTATTTTTCTTTTCACATTTCCTGTTAGTCTTGAATTTTTACTAAATAATTTCTTCCTTATTTAACAATTTTGTTTTTCATCTGGGAATTTGGAATCTTGGTACTTGTATCATTTTTTTTCAGAGATCAAAACATTTTAATATGAGAACATGGTTAATCTGCAGCCATTTCAGGCAGTGGGTGGGCTTTTTATATAACATCGTTAGTTGGTACCATGAAATATTCTGAGAGGTGAATGTAAAAATGTAAAAAGATATTTTTTTTTTAAATAAACTTTATGAAAGAACACACATTTGTAGCCTGTCGTTATATCCATTGACTTGAAAGTGCTGGAAATGTAGTTTTAAGTTTTCCTTCCACTGATAGTGGGTAAGGACAATGGGAGGACGGGAAGGATATTCCAGGCACTTGCTCACCATCAGGAAGAGTAAGGTCGAAGGTGATGTCAGAAAGGCTAGTACTCAGCTGGGTAAAGAGCAGTCTAGGGGTGCTTACGTGCAACTGGCGTGCTTTCCTTGTTGGAGGTGATCCTTGTACTTGAGGGTTCTGTGCATGAGATGTGTGATTGAAACCATTATTTTGATACTGAGAGACTGTTACTACCCATGTACCTGGGGATGGTGTCTGTGCTGCTTTCCACAGTCAAACCACAAGGCTGCCTTTGCTGCCACATGTGCCTGACCTGCTGTGTTCACGATCCTGTGTGGCACACACACTGGGAAGGACAGCTTTATGCATTAGGTAATGTGGAGGGATTATTCCTGCTTTTTGTATCCTACTGTAAGACCATTCTTGGTGGAAAATGCACTAACCTATCCTAACCATTGAAATGTGTAAGAGTGAATGTATCAGTGTTGCTAACACCCACATCAAAAGCACTCCTAGGCTTCCTTTCAGTTACTTCTTTTCCTGACTAGTTCCTTGTTTTAGTTACCTCAACCTTCAAGCTCTTTGGTTTCATAATTGCTGTCATTTGGATGTAAAATACTCCCCAGAGCCTCCTGTTTTTTAGAGGCTTGGTGTTTGGAAGTGGTTGGCTTTTAAGGGAAGGAGTCTAGCAGGAGGTCTTAGGTCCCTGGGCTGTCTGGAGGGGATTGTGGACTACTGGTTTCTCACTCTCTTTGCTTCCTGGTTGCCACAAGCTGAGCAGCTTGCTCCACCCTACCTCCTGCTGTGACCTGCTGCCTTACCCAGGCCCAAGAGGAACTGACCATGTGCTGAAAATATAATGCTGGAGCCCAAATCAACCTTTACTCTTTTGAAGTTAATTCTTAGATATTTTGGTACAGTGGTGCAAAGCTGACTACCTGGTACCTGACTAGGGGTGTGAGCGGGCAGCGGAGGACTAAGTGGAAAGAGGAAAAGACTCAAGTCAATCCTCTCAGCCTCCTGTTTGCCAAGACAATTGGGGCTTCCCTTCTGTTGTAGTCAGGGTTTGCGAGGGAAAGGATTTAGTATGGAACATAATTCTTAGGATCATTTTATAATATTCACTCAGTCAAATGCCAAAGAGTACGTGCAGGAGATCTGTCCACACAGTAGAGACCCAGAGAATCCAGGTGAGGACCTGGATCCCAAGGCATTGTCCTGCACAGGTCCAGCTAAAGGCTTAAGAGCCCATGGCAGTGTTCTCTGTGAGTCCTCAACTGAGGACCTAGAGCCTATAGCGATGTCTCATGCAAGTTTGCCAACAATCTTCATGGGGAAGGTCGGAAGATCTTCACAGGGAAGGCTGGAAGCTAGAAAGTTTGTGCCATGGTATGAAGGATCTGTGCCAGCAGGCAGAAGATCTTCTCGAGCCAAGAAGTGACACTCAAGGACCAGAGCTTCCCTAAAAATAACCACAGTCATCAGCAACAGTGAGGTCCTGAGCTCCTCTGATGATAACAGCCAAGTTCATATCAGGAGAACTGGCACGACAGGCTTCTCTAGAATCAACAACACACCTTCTCCCCCAGTTCTCTCTTTCTGGTGTTGGCAGCAGTCCTCAGGTGGGCCTTCCACACCCAGTGCCATGCTGATTGAATTCAGCTGGGTGTTACATGTTGCCTATTAAGTTAATTCATCCACCATACCTTCATGTGAGGTGCTCTGTATATGCTGGACACTGTACTAAGCTCTTTATGGCATTTTCTCATTTAAACTCGAATCAGTGAGTGAGTACTATTAACCAAATTGAAGGTTGGTATATTAATATAATTAAGCCAAGCCTTGGCTCAAACCCAGAGTTTAGCACTGTACCTAATGTAATTGCGGGGGTAGGGGGTTGGGGTGGGTACTGGGAATTGAACTCAGGGCCTTGCATTTGCCAGGTAGGCACCTTGCCTCTGAGCTATATCCCTGGCACTGCACTGTATCTGATAAACAGTAAATTCTCTCTCACTGTTGTCAAATGTTTGGTAAAGTGAGGTGTAAAGGCAAGCTGGGAGCAGTGGCTTCTGCCCCCAGTGCTGTGCCCTCTGTGTTCTCTCATCTCTGCCTCCAAACAACCCAAGAACAGCTTACTGTCCCAGGTCTTCAGAGACGTTGAGGACTGACTGCGTTAGTCCTAGCAGGAGGTTCGGTGACCTCTCCAAGAGCACACGGTTAAGTGCCAGAGCCTAGATTTTCAGATTCCAAATCAGGTTTCCCATAACTATCTTGTTTTATAGTCCTTTCCTGCTCCCTTGTGTTAAAATACTCCAGCTGGTTCATACCATGGGGTTCATACCTGCCCGTGTTCTGAGCTATTATTCAGTGCACTGAAGTAGGAGACTAACGAGCCCAAGAGTTTGGAGACCAGTTCTGGTCAGCCTGGGTGACTGATTTCATCCAAAGATAAATAAAACTCAACATGTCCATGTGTATGTGTGGGATTGAATCCAGGACCTGGTACCTATTAGTCAAGTGCTCTTACCAGTGAGATCTGGTCTGGTTTTGTTTCGAAATCTGCTTTCACATTTTATGCACATGCTCATGGGTCCAATACTAGAGGTAAAAACAGTGTTTTCTGAGGATGCTTTCACATGTTGGTGATTTCTCCCTTGGCAGTGCAGAATCAGTAACCAGCCAAGGGGTCGCTTTCTTTATGCTTCCTGCATTCAATATAATGGTTTAAAAGGGAGAAAGCCTCTTGAGAGTCTAGCCATTACTGGTCTTCACAGAACCTACCTTATGTGGTAATCAACATGAGTGCCTTTGGAGGACATGTATCTAGATTTTTCCAGATCACTTTCTTTATGCCTACCTTTCTTACCTGTCTGTGGAGAAAGGAAGAGGGTGGGAGACAGTGAACTACTTCCTAAAAGTGTAGATGGATAACTGGAGACCTACATCTTGATGCCATCTGATGTCAGGGGACCTTTTCATATCCTATTATCCTGTGAAGGCCCTAAAATGGAAGAACGGACCACTTCCATGTCACCTGCTTCAGAATGTCTGCTCAGCTAGTAACCTGCCCAGCAGCAAAACTCAAGAGTTTGCAAGCAGGAGCAAAACCCATTTCTGGTCTCCATGGCCTGTTCTTGCTAAGGCCTTGGTAAGGCCAGGCCCCTTTCCTGCTTTGACACAGAAAGCACTAGATGGAATATGGACACCATTTCACTGTCTCTGGA